TGGTGTGCAGGATTCCTCAGCCCAGGAGCCTGTCTTTCACATTACAGGGAAGGTACACATGTTGGATAAGCTTTGTTCGAACATGAGCTACGATGCTGTGTCCAGGAACGGTTATCACTGCAATTTATTATTCTGAAGCATGTGTGGATCTGTGGACTGGCTGATGACAATGTCTCCAGCAGGTTTTATGTTCCCCAACCTTTCATTTCCCCCTCAAAGCCAACGTTCAGTGTTTGTTCAGATCTTATTTGTGGAGAGAACGTGGAACAGTAACTGTCAGAAATAAGACTTCCCTGCGTTTGATTACTTTGTCTGTATGGATGAGACCATACACTCTTATACTCTTCTTTCCATGCCTCCTATATGGTCATTTCTCTAGAGTTTAGTAGAGAATGCAGTCACCGATATCACTACAAACAAAACATAGACACTCATGCACAGGCAAATAATCAAACACTTTGAAGCATAATATTTTGAGTCTTGAATAATGTCTAGTACGTATAATTGTACTTAATTTATTTTAAACTGACACCTTAATCCTCTGCTATCATTTTTAATGTTTTTTATAAAATTAAACTTGTCATACAGATTTCAATACATATGTATATTAAATATATGTATATTTAATATACATATATATTTAATGTGTATATATATATATTAATCTAATGGGACCTCGGTTTTCAGGATTTGAAAAGCCTTTGATGAGAGACACATGCTGACTTATATTAAAGAGAACAATGATTTAGAACACGCACACGGTCTTTATCCAGAATTCCTTTATCCTTTCCCCTTAATACTAACTTGCTGTTTTAAAGCCCTGCGGGCATTATATATTAGTTCTGATTTTGTGGCTTTTATTTTATTCTTTTAATTTCCGTGAAACTATTTCATGGAATACATAACATTGCCTGACTTTATGTGAGAGAGTGTGACATACTTAAAGGAAACCTGCCGTAAATCTCACAATGTTCAAAGGCAACTCAGGCCTGGAGTGCGGGAGAAACAGCCGAAAATGTGCTGATCTTAAAGGTTAGCTGCGGAGCAGGAACGCGGACTGGGAAAGCGCGTTTCTCTGCTGGCAGGAAAGGAGATGGGAAGGGAGCTGGATGCCGTGCTTTCTTTCCACATGGTGCTAATAAATCCAGCTCCTAGACTGAAATGTATTTCATGCTAGAGGGAAAAAAATGTGCTAATTTCATTTCTTAAAAAGAGACATCGCCACTTATATATTCAACAGCTAGCTAGGGCGTGTTGTGCACCTTTCGGGAGAGGGAGGGCACTGAGAATATCAGCTTGCAGTCTACAAATAGGGAGGAAAACCTATATGACACTCACTGCAGGATGCTTGCTTAAAATACATGTTGTTTACTTCTTTTTAAAGTGGCGTTACATTTAAATAACACAAGCAATTGGGGGAAAATAGGTTGTACTGTTAGCTTTGATGGAAGCAATCCTTTAAAGAGAGAGGGGCTTTTGTGTTTTCTTCTGATTTTCAGTTTTCTTCCCCATCATATTCTAATTCGTGAAAAAAAATCAGCTCCAAATTATGTCCTTCTTATTAATAAGATCATTTCTTCCATTTCGTCCCGATCTAGTTAGAAGTCCATCTAATGGCTCAGAATTGGAATGTGCACAAGCAGGTTCTACACTTACAGCTAGTATTTCGTATGACGTCAAACTGCAGTCAGAACCATGTTATACAGCTCGCCCAGATAAAAGTGCTCACACAAGAAGCTTTAAGATAGATCCCTGGATAGAAATGCTATCTGCCGCGAGGGGTGCGCCCACCCACTGAGACGGTGGGGCTGATCTAATGGGAGCTCACCAAGGCCAGTTGGACTGGGACTGGTGGAGCATGTGATCAAACTGGACTCTCTGAATGTGGCTGACATGGAGGGCTGACTGAGAAGCCAAGGACAATGGCACTGGGTTTTAATTCTACTGCATGTACTGATTTTGTGGGAGCCTAGTCTGTTTGGATGCTCACCTTCCTAGACCTGGAGGGAGAGGGGAGGACCTTGGACTTCCCACAGGGCAGGGAACCCTGACTGCTCTTTGGACTGGAGAGGGAGAAGGAGGGGAAGGAGGGGATGGGGAAGGAAATAGGAGGAGGGGAAGAGGTGGAAATTTTTAATAATAATAATAATAATAAAATAATTTTAAAAAGAAAGAAAAAAAGAAAAGCTATCTGGTTTTGGACATTGACTTTTAACAGCCACAAAGAATAGTACTCACAACTTCAGGCATAAGCCACAGTGAAAACCGGAGGAGGAAGGGAAGGAAGAGGGGACAAAGTGCAACACTTAGGGAGGGTACAATGCCTCTTCCTGTCTGACAGAGCCATGCTCATTCATCCTGTTAGGGCTGGAAGTGACAGTGTAGATAAATGGTGAAGGGCAGAAGCCTTGCAGGGCCCGTTCAAAGTAGGTAGGTTCCATTTCATTCAAAAACTCATGTCCTACTGCACGGAGAATGATTTCAGTAAGTGGATAGTCATTTCCTGCAAGCCAAGGCCTGCTAGACAGCCAAAATCTAAAACAGTGTTAGCTTCATCAGTCAAAAATTAAAATACTGTTCTAATTAAATGACAAAAAGACATCATAAAAATGCTAAGAAAAGGTAAGCAAGCCTGTGTGCTAGGCAGCTCGCTGACAAACATCTATGGACCTCAGCAATGAGTTCTGGGCCTTCATATCCTTAGCTAGAAATTCTGAAGTTTGCCTTTAATACTCAGGGAGTGTCTCAAACTTCGTAACCTTTTCTGTTTCTTCCCAGCTCTCCCGGCTATTACTCATTGTCTTCAGCAGGCGCTGCCTCCTCCCTTAACCTCCATATATCACAGAACCACAATGCACCATTTTCTGGAGAAGCAAACCAGGTGACTTTGATGACCTGACTAGATTCAGAGGACAGCAACAAAGAGAAGAGCCGCAGGTGCCTGCCAGCTGGGACAAGGTCAAGGAAAGTCTAGAATGAGCGGAAATGCCCCATTCCCCATTCTTCCAGGTCCTGCCCCACAAAAGCCGCTTTCTCTAACGCTGATACTCTGTGGTCTGTTCCTTGCCGACGGAGGACAGATGGGCTGGTATAGAATATGCCAGAGTCTTAGGTCTGTTTCAGCATACGCACTCTTATTGCTTCCAAAATTGACAACTCAACATGTCTAATGGATTCCCTAAGCACTTGATTATAATCCTTAAGAACGAAAGCAAAATAGACACACAATTCTTCTGCAGAGAGATACCCAGAAGGATGCTCAGAGGAAAAGAGGGCACAAGAGCCTTGACAGAAGCCCAGAGAAGTCAGAGAGGCCCTCTGACTAGCTCAGGCTGCAACAGCCAATTTGAATCTCACCTCTGAAATGAGTGACCAACTGTGCTGCCGAGGAAGGTAATTCATACGGCGTGTTGTTTGTTCAGCCGCGAATGGTTCTCAGAATTAACACACAGCAAGAGCCAGACAGAGCTGTTAGCTACTTTACTAGAAACTTCTTGTGCAGGTTGGACACCCAGGAAAAATACAAGGAGACAAGGTAGCAAGGTAGGTGGCAAAAGAGTTAACGAAACGTCTGCGCTTCCGTTTCTTTGCCAAGGGAGAGCTAGGATTGCTGGCAACATTTAAGGTTTGTTTATCTCTATCTAGGTGTGGAAAGATTAGCTCACACTGCACCAGCTAATTTAACTGCAGCATCTTTGAGAGTTCCCTTCAGCATCCCATAATCTTTTGTGTTTTCTCAATTGCTCCAATCACCAACAACATTGAGTAGTAGTATTTTAGGAACGCACGCTTGTTGAGCATGCTCACATCACCAGCTTTCTGCCTAAGCCCATTCCCAGTCCCGTGGCCACTTAAGACATCTTTATTCGCTGTCTCATTACCATACAAAAACAAAAAAAGAGATAATGTATTTAATTTAGGAAAAAGGGACTTTTCTATTCATTTTTCTAAAACTACTTTTAAAAATCATCTCTGATACCTAATTTTAGCTGTAAACATCCATCTGTATTCACATGACTGAAATTAGGTAGGAACCAATAGTTTAGCTAAGTCAGACACCCTTTCTGCAAATAAGAATTGCATAATATGTTAAAACTTCTGCATGGAACCATGGAAGTGTTCTATCCTCAAAGCGGTCATTGTCGTAGGCTTGGACATATGAAAAGATAAAATCAAGATCTAAAACACAGAAGAGGGAGAGCTCAGTGGGAAAGCATTTTCTTGCTATGTGCCAGATCCCACAGTTGGCTCCCAAAAATCATAAATAAAATGAATAGAAATAGATGAATAAATAAAAAACAAAACACTAAAATGGAAGAAAATTATTATAAGAATACATAGAAATAATGTAGAGAACATTTGATATGTGGAGCAAGATGATATCGAGCAACATATTGAGGATGACAGTTCAGGGCAATAAAAGAACAGAGGATTTAATTAGGAACCTAAGGAAACTCAATGAATTCCTTTTGGCTTGCTGTATAAAGCCTGAGTAGATTCACATTAAACCAATCGAGAGAGCCAAGCTTTTTCATCCAAAAGCCATTCTGCCCTACAAAATGAAGTTATGTAGTCCAGCTAGTCACAACCATTCCCCTGCATTCCCATGTTCACATGTCAAATAAATGAGTACAGGACAAAGTGTACGGTAGACTATGGAGCAGGAGTTGGCCATAGGCAATTCATCGAGCTAGAAATTAGACATTGCAGGGTAAGGTAACTGTAAAGTCCTTTAAATGAGTGGGGAAAAAATAATCATAGCAGGTTCGTGGGAGAGAAAAATACCAGAACAAATAACTTTGTCCATAGGGCAAAGAAGAAAATAAATGTAAAAACCAACAAAACAACAATAACAAAACAAACCAATAAAAAGGAAAACATCTGGTTTCTTCTGCAGCTATGGCTAACCTCTCTCCTGAGCCCAGTATGAAAACATTTTGGCCAACAGAGGAAGCACAATCCAAAGCAGGAGAAAAAACTGTAGCTGTGATCTCACTCACCAAGTGGGTGGATGTCTGATGTACAATTCAGCTAATTTTCCAGGCGTGCTCACCAGCAAAGCCAAGAAACAGAGAGAGTTCCAGAGGGCTTAGGCAGTAAGGAGCAGATGTAACTGTTAAAATAAAAAGAGAAATAGGTAAGATTCAAACCGGTCCACAATTAATCAGGAAAGCAAATGGCATATATCTGAAATGTGGAGAAGTTGACAATGGACACTAGATGAATGAAGTGAACTTTTAGAATCTTTTTCAGCAGAAGAACTTTTAAAAACATAGAAAATCTAAGAATCAGTTCAGTGACTTTGATTAGGGTCACTGTCCTTGTTTGCTTTCTATTGCTATGATAAATGTGATCAAAAGCAACGTGTGAGGAAATGACTTATTTGATTTACACATCCTATTCACGGTCAATTATTGAGGGACATCCAGAGAGAAACTCAAGGCAGGAACTCAGAGGCAGGTATTGATGCAGAGGCCAGGAAGGAATGCTGCTTCCTGGTTCACTCCCCATGGCTTGCTCAGTTTGCTTTTTTATACATCCCAGGAACATCTACCCAGTCTATGGCAGCACCCATAGAGGGCTAGGTCCTTCGATATCAATCATTAATCGAGAAAATTCCCCAGAGACTTGCCTACAAGCCACTCAGCTGGACATAGATTCTCGTTTGGGTTTTTCTCTTTCCACGTGACCCTAGCTTGCTCCCACTCTACAAACACTAACCAGCACATTCACTATTTACTGTGCTGTATAAAATGACTGCGCAACAGTACAATGGAACTTTTCTTGATGAGGCTGTTCATGATGCAAACTCAGAAACACAGTGTCACTGGAGAAGAGCTGAGATGTAGATTTCTAACAAAAGATAAACTTGGATTATGTTCTTCTTGTTGACAAGTGATTTATTTCATCATAGACCTTACCACTTTGTTCATACAATGCATCTTGTGTATTATTTTACTTGCAGATTCACGTATTTGTTAGTTAAAACCATTCCCACTAGCATGTGCATGTGGTGTACCCTATCATAAGATCACGCGGAACAGATCAAAGTTGTCCTGGGAAGACAATCCAAGCTCTCATCAACGAAAACCAGAGGCATAGAGATGCCTCCTCCCTCATCGAGATTGTCAGGGAGATTAAATTTGAAAGCCCCATTATGGCACTTAGTGCTGAGCCTGGCACACATTCGTCCTTCAGTGCATGTCAGCTGTCATCAGTTTTGTCTTTGCCACCACTGAAATGCGACGGATCTGTAGTTTCATCAACAGAGATTTGAGACTCATCTAATGAATGATTTTTCCCTGAAAAGGAGCGTAAATATCCCCCTCCACAAAAGGCAAGGGGACTGCCTATTGACCTAGTCCAGTTGGTCCACACGAAGACAGGTATGAATCACTACATCTCTTCCTCCTCGATTGGAGTACTTTCTCAGTAAGGAAGTCATAGGTGATTTTCTCTTTTCATATATCTGTATGTTAGTTGTACAAAATAGTGGGTTTCGTTGAGATGTTTTCACTCATGCATTGAATGTATATAATCATATTTACCACCTCATTACTTCTCTCATCCCCTCCCTGCTCCCTCTTCTCCAAGCTCTCTTCTTTAATAATAGTCTCCATAGTTGATATTTTAAATCTACAAAGGGAGTATTGGGGGTATTAGAAAAAAAGGGGTTAAATTAAAGAAAACGGTGGCAACAATAGCGAAACTCAATAACCCTAATTCTCCAGCTGTCATCCATCTACTCATCTTGCACAGGCAATGTATGGATCCTCATCCAGCGGCACGTGATTGTCCTTGTTCAGCATTGTGAGGTAGGAGGTAAGGAGATAAACTCCTAAAGAGCTGGGTTCTGCTCCTTTGGTAGAATCTATCTTAAGTCTATTCACTGTCCACTGGATGTCACCTTCCTAGACAGTCATCACGGGGTCAAACTGTACTTTCAGATTAACGGCTACCTTCTCTCTGACAGCTCTGAAATGTTTTGGCTCCCCTTCAAATAGTTGTAGCAACCTAGAGTAAAATTTGGGCCGCTAGTGCACTGATCTTTCAGAAAGATCACTCTCTAACTACAGTGTAAAATAGAGAAGAAAAACTTCCAGCCGACTTTCCTCTGTGCCTCTTTTTTTCTCTTTCTTCTCTCTCTCTTTCTTTCTTTCTTTCTTTCTTTCTTTCTTTCTTTCTTTCTTTTTTAAGACTGGAGCTTGGAGATTAGGAGCCTGTCCTGGCACTCACTCTGTAGACCAGGTTTGCCTCGAACTCACAGAAATCCACCTGCCTCTGCCTCCTGAGTGCTGGAATTAAAGGTGTGCACCACAAATGCCCGGACTTCTCTGTGCCTCTTATTGAGAATAGCCACTAAGTGTCAAGTTCCAGGGATATGCTGAGCCTCATAAAATGGACTAGTACTGAAAGAAAGATGTCTTAGACTACATAAACAAACTTAGATAAACACAAAGAAGGATTAACCACCATTCCTGCCTTTCTTACTAACCTACCATCCAAACATCAGTACATTTGGCTTGTAAGAATAAGGAATCCAAAAAGATAGAAACATCTAATATATGCTATGTGTCTTTAAAAGACAAAGTGCAAGGGCTAGACAGAATTAAAAACCTATGTCAATTTCCCTTGTTTTAATTTTTTTTTGATTTTTTTTCAAAATTCACGTAGGCCATTTCTGTCCAGCATAACACTGTAGTACTTTGATTTTCTCCTTAGACACTCCGTAGCCTTTACTGTCTTTGTACCACACAACTTTAGGTCTTAATTATATCCTATCTTGCAATAATTAGGTGTCCTTATAAGCACGCCTGTTTACTCACTTGCTCCGTTCTGATCCTTTAATCTCTCCTGAATATTAGGTTTTTAATGCTATTAAGAGCCACAGTTTAACAACTTTATTACAAATTAAAATCGCAAAAATACTTTCAAGAGGAGTCAATATGGGGGGCAGCATGAAAAATTTGCAGTGAACCAGACCTGGTGGTACCTACCTGTAATTCCAGCATGCTGGAGGCCGAGGCAGGACCATCATGAGTTGAGACCAGCCTCGGCTACATAACAAGGAACTATCTCAAACCCTTCTGCTTAGAAGAAAATTCTTCAAAGTTAAAAATGCTTAAATCATTAACTTCATAGGTAGACTCATACAGGGATGTTTCTCTTTCCGCTCACTATTTCTGGAGATATGGATAACTCTCTCACCCTCACCGGGGCGCTGCCATTGGGGCCTACATTGGTTTCAGGTAGAGTTTAGAACCCTCAGAGATGGTGGTTAGCACTGTAATCCCAGCTCAGCTCTGGAGGCATGTGGTGGTGAGTGGAGTCTAGCCTGAGCTAACAGGATTGTATCTCTGAGGGAGACAAATGTGAAACAAAACCACTGCAGACAGGCAAGTCAGTTTTAGGGAAGAGAGAAATCTACTGTTCTGCTACTGGATGGTCATCTTCCAGAATGGAAGACGAAGCTGGCCCTGATCTCCTCACACCGTCTACGCAGTTCACTATAATGACTGGAGGCCCAGGCCACAGCTCAACTCTTTGGGCTTAAAAACTGTCAAAAGCACATAACAAGTAGGTGTCCCTGAGTCAGGTATAATCCTTTGGGTAAGATAAAGAATCATACCAGCATCTAAATAACAGGCTTACTGTGACATGACAGACGTACATACCATAAACGTCAACTATCATTATTACCTATTTATATTTGTGAAATACAGTTATATAAAAATGCACTGGTTTCTGCACCATCAAAAATTACCCTGTATTTTATTGGATGACACAGTAACATATTCCAACTAAAATATATATATATTTTAAAAAGGGTTTTGGAACATTGTGCGGTACTAACCAAATGCTTAGTAACGCAGCAAATGTACTGAGATAGTGTGGTCCTTTGTTATGCACTAGGTTTCTGTCAACACTAAGATATGGCAGATAAAGCCAGGCAGATCTATCATCCAAGAACTTGACAGGCTAAGGCAGAGGAACCCGAAGCTTGAATGCAGCTACTTACTGATCTGGTCTAGCCTGGGATATTATAGGAATGGATTGACTTGGAAAGTAATTGGAGGGATGGAGGAAAAGGGAGAGGGAGGGGAGCCAAAAGGGAGGAAAAGAGGGAGGAAGAGACACAAAGAGAAACCAAAAATAAAAAAGTATCACCTGAAACCCATATTTGAACTGATACTAAACACACTACAAATTAAGTGATAGCAAATTTACATTTTATTTCTCTGGAACAAATTTACATTCTATGTCTTCCCCAGGAGGTCATGAGACTATAATGTGATCTATGCTCTGGATTTTCAAAATTGCTCTTAAATAGTCTTTTCTAGCATCATAGGAAGCATAAGTAGTTCAGAACAGGAAGGAGAAAGCAAATCCGCTAAGAACCATTCCAGCCAGTGCTGTCTGCTGCCTGAGTTTCCTGAGACTTTGTTCTACACTTGTCTTCATAAATGCAGCAGCATGAGAAAAACAGGGCATGCGTAGAGCGATGCCATCCGTTAATGACTCTTCTGAAGCCTTTTCTCTAAGAGAAATGTATTCTCTGGTTGATCGAGGGCACTTAATCTAGGCCTATTTCAGAGTCGATCGAATTATTTCAACTTCTTATTTAATATTTGTAGGAAAATTTAAAAACTGAAATATCCCATTTGAAATTCTTATAAAACAAGCAATTTGAAATAATTAAACATTATTGGCTTTAGGGGAATAATTTGAAAATGTCTTGATTTGCAACATTTTATCGATTTTTCTACCATTAAACATATAAATTAGAGAAACAAAAAATAAAAACTAAGAAAGTACCAGGCTACATATTTTACATGAATGCCATAAATGGAAGTGATAAAGACAAGTCTATAAAAAAAGCCAAACAATAGGAATAAAACTTACAAAATATTGTTATCTTCATTCAAACTACCAGTTCCCTTAATGGAAATTAAGTTTATAGGCTTAAAGGAAGCATTAACAATTTTCCCTTCAGATATAAAGAGAATGGTATTACAGTGTGAGGAATGGGAGATTAGTGTATGCAAATTAATTGGCTTCTTTCTAATGAATAAAAACAAAGATTTCACAGACATAAAAATATGAGCACATGAC